ACCCCTTAAACCCCTAAACCCCTACATCCCTAAACCCCTAAGCCCCTAAACCCCTATACACCCTCAACCGTTGAACCCTTAAACCCCTAAACCCCCTATAAACCCAAACCCCCTAAACCCCTCAACCCCTATACTTAAACCCTCAACCCTAAGAAACCCTAAACCCCTAAATCCCAAAACCACCTGGAACCGCAAAACTGGGCTTTGGAGTACCATACTTTAACACTTTTTTGGGACCTGTTTTTTAAAGGGAACCAATTATGAAAAAAAGTCTATACTTTTTCTAACCATTGATATTGGAGGAGCTAAGGAGCCAGGGATGATGATAATCCCTATTAAATAAGGAGCTAAAGAGCCAAGGAAACCCCACAACCACTGGTTAGTTTTCTCCCTGGTTACTTCAAAGCCCAGAAAAGCTCTGCGAGAGCTGGGGGTTCCCACAGGGACTCCTCCCACACCCGGCGTCCTCATCCGCCCCTCCCATGCAGTGTTTTAGTGTTCCTTTAAAGGGGTCTATATATAGGGGCCTTTAAAGGGATCCTTTAAGGGATCTATAGGGTTTAGGGTTCAGGATAGTATAGGGGCCTTAATGATCAGAATGGGGTTCCTTTTAAGGCGCCTATAAGGGTTACTATAAGGGGTCTAAAAGGCTACTATATTATCGTCCATACACTGGAAGGGTTTAGGGCTTCAGGGTTTAGTGTTATAGGAATTCACTATAGGGCTTTACTAATTTCGTGCCAATATTTGTTTCGGAGAGTTCCCTGTTACAAGTCTAGTATAACGGGCCCCAAAGGCTTATTCTGATTCTATTTAATCATTAAGGCCCGTAGAGTACCGTAATCCATGTTAACGAGCCCTCTTTAAAGTCAAGGTCGGTATGCACATGGGAGTTTCCGAAAATACGGGATCCCCATCTACAGTAGGATCCTCCGTATAAGGAGCCCAAACTAAAGCACCCCAAGTCATCGGAAACTCCCAACATCAAGGGGTGTCGGAGTCGTTGCCCTAAAACCCTAAACCGGACACCCTAAAACCCTAAACCCTCAAGCCCTGAAACCTAGTTACCTAGCTGGTCGGCCCAGGAAGATATCTTCTCTGGATGACCGTCAGTCGCCACCTTATCCAGGGTTGGCTCAAGGTTTATAGGTTGTCGGGTTTAGGGCTTAAGGGTTTGAGGGTTTAGGGTTTTGTTGTCTAGGGTTTAGGTTTTTTTCAATTTTGTTGTTTACGGTTGAAGGGTTAAGGGTTTTGTTGTCTAGGCTTCAGGGGTTTCGGGTTTCGTTGTTGAGGGTTTAAGAGTTTAGGGTTTCAGTCGCCACCTTTTCCAGCGGCGGCAACGACACCCTCAGTGTCGGTGAGTAGTCGGCTATGCCATTCTTCGCCTTTTTGGAGGTTTTTTGCGTGTAGCCAGAAAGCAGCGGTTTAGGGTTTAGGTTTTAGTGTCGCCCAAAAAGAAGCTAGCTGATATTCGGTTACAGCGCTCTCATGGTCCGTTTCTGGTTACTGGATTTCGGAGAACGGGGTCCGTACTCCGTGCGGCTCTTGGGTGCCATGTTGTGTTGTTTTTGTTTAGTTTGTTGTTGGTTATGCTTTACTTGTCTGGGTTTAACAAAAGAGTCTTGCGTCCCATTTTAGTGCAGGCAGGGCACCTAAACTGCAAAGCCTCAAGTCCCTATGCGCACCTATGCCCCTAAACTCTGCGACTGGGCTTGTCATGGTTCCAACAAGACGAACATATCAATACAATCATAAGGACCCTTAGGGGGGTCAGGGGGAGGGGGGAAGGGGACTATACTTCCTTAAATAGGATGGGCATTAAGGCCCCTGCCCCCTCCCCCTACCCCCCTAAGAGTGCCTATGAAGAAGAACATATCAATACAAGGGCTCCGGACTCGCTTGCGTGTGCGTTTTGTGTATAGTACAGCCCGGCTTCAGGGTTTAGGGTTTCACAGGACCAAAATCTGAAGCCCAAAGCTATAAAACGTAGACCCGAATAAACCGTAAGTGGAGAGCCCAAGCCTGCAACACCACGAGCAATAAACGCATAAAGCCACCCCTCAAACCGCAAACCCTATAAAACCTGAACCTTAAACCACTAAACCCGAAACCTCTACACCCTCAACACCTAAGCCACTGCACCCTAAACCCTCCAACAACCCAAATCATCTTGTAGGACCCAGAGTAGTTCAGGTTCCCTTTTAAGCCCCTTTAAACCAAAAAGGGCACCCTTTTATTCCTAGGTTGCTCTTGGGTCTGGGTTTAAACCTAGGCAGTCCTCCGGCGAGAAGCTCCAGCGAGGGCCTGCGTGAAACGCTCAGTGGCCAGGGTTTAGGACCTAGGGTTTATAGGGTTTAGGGAAGTCGAATGAGGGTTACTTAGGAGGCCGGGGCGACTTAGTAAGCCGGGTATAAGTAGGGTTATAGTTGGGGTAACTCCACTTAGCGTACTTATGGCTCTACGTAAACAAGTCTAATGCTGTAAAGGTTGCTATAAAGCTCTTTCAAGGGAGGCTTTTTGGGCTACTGTGAGGGCTGTTTTAAGAAGGAACCTCTAGGGCTTAGTTACTACAAGGTTTAAGGCTTAAACAGGCTTTAGGGCTTAGTTACTATAAGGTTTTAGGCTTGATAAAGGCATTAGGGTTTGGAGTTTCATTGTTTTGGGTTCGGTTCAGGGTTTAAGGATCAGGGTTTAGCATTTACTAGGTTGCATGTTTGACCTTTCAGGATTTCCTTTGCGGTCCTATAGAGGTACCTACCTAAACCCTAAACCCTAAACCAGTTCCGGGTTCGCCATTTCATGAGCTCATCCCCTCCCCTGGGAAGCCACAGCTTTGAGGATTTGGAGTTCGGCATGTACCTTGACCCACCAAAACCCTATATTTTTGGCACGGCCCCGATCAATTTCATATTAGGGTTTGTATCAAGAACCTAAAAATGCAGGGTTTTGGTGGGCTAAGGTAGGGTTGTGCATTCCTTCTCTCCTGAAGGTCTCGATCCTGAGCCCTAGACCCTAAACCCTAAAGGGTTGTGCATTCAACGTCTTTTTCGGTCCGGCTAAGGCTCGCAGGGATCTGTGAACCGTTGGTTGGTGTGCAACAGGGCCCAAAGAAGGTGCCTTTTTTACGGGTTTAGGGTTTAGGTTCTAGGGTTCAGGGCGAAACCTACCTATAACAGAAAGACGTGTGTCTAGGTGTTTTTCAACATATTTCTAAAAGCCCGTACTTGAGGAGAACTGTGCTTCTTGATAGGCATGTCGGACTTCAGAAGCCCATACGGATGCCGATGAAAGCGTTTATTCGGTTAGCCGGGGACATTGCTGAGGTGTATAGGGTTTTGAGGGGTTTAGTGTTTAGGATCAGGGTTTTGGCTCGAGGTTGAGGATTTGTCGTTGTGACCACAGCAGCTGCCGCTGTGATTTGGAAAAAGTCTTCTTTGTATTGTCCGCGTAGCACGGACGTTAGATCATAAGGTTCTTGCATGTCTATTGCCACATGCTCATGTTCTTGTTTTTCTCCCGTCAGAACGACCCCTGTCGAAAGTTGCCAGCTGGATCGACCAAAAGCCATATTTGCCGTCTGCCTCCCTGAAAATCGACAGGCGTGTCCCCCTGCTTCGTTGCTGCCGCATCACATGTTGGATGAGTTGCTAATCTTACTTAGCCTATTGGAGAACTTTAAACTTTTTGGCTTTACATATTTGGTCTAGCTTAAAAAGTTTGAACTTTGTTTGGGCCTGGTTATTGGAGAAGAGAGTAATTCTTAGGTCCTAGGTTCTCTTTAACCCATCTCAAACCCATCGGGATGATCCCCTCAACTCTAGCACCGGGTCAGCCCCGAAACTAAAAACCGCGCATCCCTTGGCCAAGCCCTTGACCCAGCAACTCCAAATCTCCCAGGGCACAAGTCCACCCCAAAAAACCGTAAACCGTAGGCCCTAAACCTGGAAGCCAAAGGAAAAGGAGCCACACAAAATCAAAAAATGCAACCCGCAAAAAACGTAAACATACCGAGCAGTGAGAGCGATGACTAGCACCATACTGCCGCGCCTCGAGTGAGGATCCCAAACATTCAGAAGTCCGCCAGGGCAAGTTGTTTATGGTTTAGGGTTTAGGGTTTAAGGTTTAAGGTTTAGGGTTTAAGGTTTAAGGTTTAGGGTATAGGGTTTAGCGTTTAAGGTTTAGGGCTTAAGGCTTAAGGTTTAGGGTGCAGGGTTTAGCTTTATGAATAATAAAGGCCTCTAGGGCCCTAACCCTCAAACCCTATGCCCTAACCCGTTTTCAGAATTCCGTGGAGAGGGGACTCCTCTGCCGGTGATTCCGAGTACTGGAAGTAGAAAGAAGCCGAGGAGGAGCATGAGAAGGGCGCACAGGTGTTGAGGAACTTGGACTACATCATAAGGACCCTTAGGAAGCTCAGGGGTAAGGGAGTAGGGGGTCTTAATGCCCATAATAAGGACCTAGCAAGGCTTATTTAAGGAAACAGAGTCCCCTACCCCCCCTCGCCCCTAACCCCCTCAGAGTCCCTATGAGTTGAGGAACCTGGACGACCACGGGCATCATCATTCTACGGCCCGGGCTACAAATGGGACTTTCCGAAAATTGGGGATACCTTATTTTGGGGTTCTTATAATGAGGATCCTACTATTTTGGGTACTATATTAGGGTCCCCTATTTTCGGAAACTCTCAAATGAGGACTTGGAGAGCAGAATGCGACAGGCAATCCAGAGCGACGGCCGAGGTTCTAACTTCGTTGAAACAGGGCAAAGCAGGTGAATCCCAGTTTTTGGCTTCTCGCCGTAGTGCACCTTACCGGAAGTTGCGCTTCGCACTTCCTGGAGTGCGTGCAACAAGCAAGGGTCGGCAGAGATGGGAGGAAAGAAGTGGCTGACCTGTGCCTGCCCTCCTTGGTGCAGACGAAAGGGGCCCCCTAAACCCTAAACTTCTAAACCAAAAACACGTTTTCCTTTTAAAGGAGCTTCGAATCCCCTCCAAAGCCAAGGTCCACTGGAAACCTCTCCCCCAAGAGGAGGGGCCAAAGTAGACCTGGCTGGGACGACAGGCCTGGCATGGCATGGCTTTCATGGTTTGGGGCTCTAGTGTTCAGGGTACCTTAACCTACCAGAACCTATCTTTTTGTAGGGTCCCTATAAATCCCATATTAGGGTTCATAATAAGAACCTACAAAAAAGTAGGGTTTAGTAGGTCATAGGTATATCTAGACCCCCCAACTACCCTCTAAGATACCCCAAACACCCACTATTAAGTCCTGCATTCAGCCAAAACTCGGGAGGCCCGGCCCCCAAAAACCTAAGCCAACCTTAAACCAGAAAAGCATGCGGCTTAGTTTTTAGGGTTTGAAGTTTGAAGCTAAAGCGCAAAGTCATAAAGCCACCATGACCCCCCAAGGGCCTTGTAATGGAGCCCTTATGGCCGGTTTTGGGGGTTTGCGGGGTTGGGTTTTTTTTTGCAATTTAGGGTTTCAGGGCTTAGGGTTTAGGGTTGGGTTTTGGGCTTTTTGCGACTTAGGATTTTAGGGCTGAGATTCTGTCGGGATTTACGGTTGGGTCATTGGTGTTCAGGGAGCTTTCTGGCTTAGGGATTTGGGGTTTCAGCTGTATTGTTCTGCACGCGCTGGCTATGGTTTCGGGGAACCTCACTCGAGTAAGTTCTCGGTGTAAGGGGTTTCAGAGAAGCATGGCTTAACGATCGAAGTTTCGGTTTGCGGTTTGGGGTTGTCGTGGTTTTGTTTTTTTGGGGGTTGATGGGTCTTCGTCGGCTTATAGTTTGGGTTTAGGGTTTCTTCGGTTTGGGTGTGTGGGTTGCAGGGCCCTCAAGTCAAAGTGGCTTCCAGCTCTTGGAAACCTTAGTCCCCTTGGTCTAGGTATAGGGGTCTCATGGGCATAGTGCCGAATACAAGCCTTCACACTTACGCAGTGATCCGAAATATTAAACCCCCAGATCAGTCTTCAACATCTGCTGAGTGCGGAAATGCCAGAAGCTCGGCCACCATGATTCATTGTTCAACATCACGTCAGAGTCCGTATATGTGAATATGCGTATATTAAATCCCCACGAACGGAATGCTAAGGCCGTACTTGGAGGCCCAGGGGGCTAAGTAAGTCGGTTATAGATAGCGTTATAATTGGGGCAACTCCGTTTGGGGCACTTATACCTCTACTTATAACCTATTTACGAAGTTTCCTGGCAATCCTTCTGGAACCTTCGAAAGAACCATGTTTGTGTACCAAACCCTGTTTTCCTTGGGAAGTGTCCCTGTAGTACACCCATACAACCCCTGATAATGATATAATGTCATCCTATGCACAAAACCCTGTTCGTTTCAGGCCCCAAAAGCCAAGCCTAAACCCAACTCCGCTGCCAGGCATCACCTGCTCTACTCGGCTGTCAACGACAAGATGCAGAAAAACATTCGGTGGGCCTTGTGGATGTATCAGGGTTTAGAATAAGGTTTGGGGACTTTGCGTTAGGAAAGGGTCATATCAGGGTTTCTGTGAAGGCCTAAGTATATACGATTGTTAGGACCGTCATTGCCAACCATTACTTGGAGGGTCGGGGGACTTAGTAAGTGGGGAGTACGTAGACTTGTAAGTACCCTAGAAGGGACCCTAATTGGGGTTATGATATTTGTAAGTCCCTAAAATAACCAGTCACTATGTCCCCCGACCCTCCAAGTATCTCTACACACCCAATCCCCAGACATTTTCCTCTTTTGCCCTAAGCCCAAACCCCAAAACCCTGGAGCGCCCTGTAAACACCAGAGGTCCAAATCAGGACTGCCAGGGTTCAGGATTTAGGGGTTATAAAATAGAAGCCAGAAAGTTGGAACATGACTTTAGGAGGATTACTGCTAGGATCCCTTATACTTTACCTTAAGGGGCATGAGGGTAATGATGTTCCAACTTTCTGGCTTCTACTGTAGAGCAAGTTTGGATCAAACTCAGAGCCCACATTCCAAACCTGACAGCGCTAAGCCTCAAAACTCTGAAACCCAAACACCAGGACATCAAAGTTTCGAAGATTGAAACCTGCAGAACCCTGAACTTCCCGAGCGCCTCATTCCCTCAAAATGGCCCCAAGCCCCCACTTGGAGGGTCGGGGGACTTAGTAAGTAGGTAGTAGGTAGACTTATAAGTACCCTAAAAGGGACCCTAATTGGGGTTATGGTACTTATAAGTCCCCAAAATAACCAGTTACTAAGTCCCCCGACCCTCCAAGCAGAGCCTCTACTGTAGTAGCGTTCCGGTAGCTTTCACTGGCCTCAAGCCCTGCAGCATCAATCGCAAGAAACCGAGGGGGCGCTGATTCTCAACGGCCCAAGGTTTAGCAAGGTCCTATGGGGCGTCCACAGGAGTTTATGTTAATTCATATGGTTTTGTTCCAGATCGAAGTTCTTGCCAGGTCTTATTTTGACCGACCGCGCGACATTGATGCCAACGGTCAGCGCTATGATCACCCGCTCAGGACGCTGCCCTGGCGGTTTCATTCTAGACCCTAAGCTCGCACCACGAGTTCAATCCTAAACAGCTCAGGAAGGCCTCAGATCCTGCAAGGCACGACTTAAGGTTAAAGCCCCGCATATATCTTGGAAGCTGCCCCCACCCTGTAATAGTGGTATAATAGGAATATAATAGGGCTCTAATATAAGCCTTATACCTGGACCCCCAAAGTATGCAGAATAATGGCCTTTTAGAGGTATTGGGCCATTATTTTACCTACTTTGGGGGGTTCAGGTATACATATCTTAGTACCTCCAAGCCCACACCCTGAAACCCCCAAGGCCTAAGTCCGCAGCCCGGGCGCAAAGTAAATGGCACCGATCTTTAGCGACGATGGGTTTAGGCTTTAGGCTTTCGGGTTTAGGCTTTAGGGTTTAGGGCTTAGGCTTTAGGGTTTAGGGCTTAGGATTTAGGGTTTAGGGTTTAGGGTTGCAGTGAAGCTCAGCCTCTGTTCTTTGCTGCCGAATGCTGCAGGAAGCGAGTTTACAGATTTTGAAGTTTCGGCTATTCTGGGTTGAGCGTTTCGGATGCGTTTGCGGACTTCGCCGTTTTCAGCTGCGAACGCTCAACCACATAGCAGCAGTTTTGTTTGGAAAGGAGCTTCTATTCAGAGAGGCCAAGTCCTAAGGACTATATAAGAAACAATATTGAGAAGTGTTGGAGCCTGCCCTTCTGCAGTGATATATCTTTCGAAGGTTTTGCGTGTAGGTGTTCCTTTCATGCCCAATCTGCTACCAGGTCGGTTACAAGGTTGTCAATGATGCCCTCGGGCTTTGGTCGATTTTCCACACCACCAAAAAGATGCTAAACTGAACTTCTCATAGGACCGATTCGAGGCTTCTGGTTTCTGCTCTGTTTCAATAAACCTCCCCCACAGACCGTTGCCTTGCGCATAAGCTGGGGGACTGCTTAGAGGCCCAGGGGACATAGTAAGTATAGGCTATAAATAGAGCTATAAGTACCCGAAATGGGCCCAATTATAGCCCTACTTACAACCGTTACTAAGTCCCCTGGGCCTGCAAGTAGGGTTCAGAGTTTATCGGACGCTCTGGCTCATGATTTTGATCCGAGGTCAGGTACGTATCCCACGGCCTGAAAGCCGATAATCCTTTCGGGCGCAGAAAATCCTACCCGAATCAAGCAGTAGCTGAGCAACTATTGCTGGAGTGAAAGCCAGGGCTTGGAGTTTGGGCCTAGATGGCGGTTCGGGTTTCAGAGGGTGCAGAGAAGTTCAGGATTCTGCGTAATTATACGGCTTTCGCATCCTAGGGTCTAGGATTTCAGAGCTCAGAGCTTTTTTGGTTTAGGATGCATTTGGGTGGTTGTCAAAATTATGGTCCCTTCTTGGATCCCTGATATAGTACGGCACCTAATATTCAGGGTACCCAAAAAGGGACCATAATTTTGACAACCACCCATTTAAGCCGGAAGCTACCGTCAGGACCATCTGGCAGCTCAACACGCCGGTTCAGGCGCCGCCCCCCGGATCAGCGGTCCGGGACTCAGGTTCGGTTTGGGGTTTGGGATTCAGGGTTAAAGGGGAAAAGGAGGGACCCTTAATGGGGACCCCTACCCTATAATGGGCCATATAATGGGTATATAACAGCTATTTTAGGGGTATATACCTAGGGGTTTTTATTAAGGGTCCCTCCTTTTAGCCTTTGAAGTTCCTGGCTTCAAGATGGCAAGCTCTCATGGCCGCCCGTGAATGGAAACCCTATTCTAACAATGAATGCCGCTATCCTAAATCCCCAGTCTAACTATGAAGGCCCCTATCCTAAACCCTATTCTAACTATGAAGGCCCCTATTGTAACTATGAAGGCCCCTATCCTAAACCCTAAAACCCTAAACCCTAAAACCCTTAACCCTAAAGTCCTATGCTAAGCATGAAGGGCCGGGTCTGCGACCTCTCGGAGGGGCTCACTGCCGGTCCTAAACTCTGCAATACCAAAACCCCACGCCTTCAAAATCACCAGAAGAGGGTTTGGGTTTAGGGTTTAGGGTATCGCCAGAAGAGGGTTAGGGTTTGGGGTTTAGGGTATCGCCAGAAGAAATGCTTCCTGAAGTCTCCCACCACTACGACCACTGCCGATATCTCCGTCGAAGCAGTGACATCCTCGATCCCAGACCCTCTAGGCTCGCAATGTTTAGGGTTTAAGGTATTAGGGTTCCTTAAAGGTATCTGTAAGGGTTTCTATAAGGGTACTATACTTGGAGGCCCAGGGGACTTCGTAAGTCGGATATGAGTGGGGTTTTGCTTGGGTAGCTCCATTTGGGGTACTTATAATTCTACGTATCACCTACTTACTACGTCCCCTGGACCTCTAAATAAGGTTTATTTGGGCTAAGTAGGGTCCCGTTACTACGAAATCTGATGCTATGGAACTTCAGAGGCTATGATTCCGTGAGAGATTAAAATTGAACCAGACTCCGAAACAGCCCTGGGTGCCTAAACTCCAGATGCTCGATTAAAAAAGCAAATCCTGAATACCTGAATTCATAAACAAGACCCTGCAGTGCCAAGTCCATGGAGGCTTTGAAGCCCTATAATATAGTCCGACGGAGACCCGACCAAAGCCGTGCAAGCTTGTGCCTCGAAAATTATGAGAAGTCTTTGCAACCTTCGAAGACCTGCGCAGAGGCCATTGAGGCAGAGTACGCAGGCCTGGCTCAAGAGTCCAACGTTGAAGACACGGAGTTCTCACCTACTGACGGCGAGCTCCTTGGCCACCGAAACATACCTGTCGCCCGAAGCCATCACCGGCAAAGGCCAGGTCCAAGTCAGTCGACTGCTGGGCAGGCAATCTCGCAAGCAACCTTCTTCAAGGATGCCCAGGAAAACTACGAAGCTGCTGACACTGCCAAAGGATCATCCACGTCGTCCCTAAACCTACTGGGCTCCTCCTTTACGCCGATCTGAATTGCCAGGAAGCCAGATACCTCAGCGCAGTCGATGCCCTCCCGATGGCAGTCTCTGGGGTGCCCCCCTTGAAAGGCATCAAGCTCTTAGACATTAATGAATTCTAGCGTTCCTTCATGAAAGCCTGTTAAGAACCTGCTACGACCCCGAGTGAACCCTGATAAGACCCTGCAAAGTGAATACTTGTCTGTTCTATGTTGCCGTATGATTTCCACACAGTATAACAGCCCCGGTCTGGTGGTTTGTATTTCAGAACCATGGTTCCCAAACCGTTTGAACTCTAAGAGAAGCCCCTGAAATAAAAGGCAACTCTAAATCTCAGCCCCCGGTGCCGACGAGTCTTGTACCCCAACAGCGCTGCCCTGTGAACTAAAGAAAGACGCCTAAAACAGCGAAAGCAAAGTTCAAAGTAAGTTCCCAAACCGTCAACCCTTAGCCCCCTAAGCCCTAAACCCTAAAACGACCGAGATGGAGCTTTCGCCGATGTCTACCGCGAACTTCGATAAGCTGCTGAAGCTCTCAAGGCGCGTCTTCATTCTATTCCTTATTTAGAGGCCCAGGGGACCTAGTAAGTAGATTATAAGTAGGGTTATAAGTACTCGTACCCTAAATGGAGTTACCCCAATTATAACCCTACTTATAACCGACTTACTAAGTCCCTTGGGCCTCTAAGTAGGCTTCCTTAACACTCGAACATGTCTGTTCAGGTTCTATGATGGTTTGGAGGGTTGGGAGTTGGGGAATGTTTGGAGGTTATATAACTCCCTAGGCCAGACGCCGTTCCACTACAGTGTCTTGATCTTTCGTGGCTTTGACCTGAAGTCGTTGTAGCGTGATTTCTCGACTAACATGAGGAATTCAAGCACCCGATGGACAGTGAAACCTATGCCCCTCAGTTCGAAAGTCAAGCATTGGTGCTGTTGGTCGCCCAGTCCATCTAATACAGGGGCCTGCATGATTACGAGTACTGTACTATTCCTTCGTCATCTAATGTAGGGACCCACATAATTCCAAACACCACTCCCAAACCCTAAACCTCCTATGACAGTACCAGGATCCTGCACCACAGCATGAACGTTAGCATACGTTGGCCATTCGAAAAACTGTAGCGACCCTGCAATACCTGCAAACAAGACAGCTTGCATGAGTTGTTTTATTTGGAGCGTGAATAAATCAAATCATTATTCCTTAGGATTTCTTATAGTTGCAGTAGAATGTTGTCGAGGTCCCTACATTTCCCCCCGCCCCTTCAAACCAGAACTTGAGTGTGTGAGTGTTTTCTGTTTTTCTGGCCTACACTTCACTAACATTCTACTGACCAATGCAGCTAGGGCTATGTTCGGGTCATACAGGAGGCAGGAACGCCATCGCTTCTTCCTATCCTGGCTTAAAACTTGTTACTCAGTACATGAAGCTTGTAAGCCCTAAACCTCTGGACCCTGAGCCCTAGTCCTAAACCCATCCAAAACCTCATCTAGACCTTACTAAGTCACCATGGCCCAGACCTGCCACAATCCTATAACTAGGGAATATATATTTTAAATCATATTAGGGATCGTACTAGAATTTAATGGTATATTCCTTAATTAGGGTGCAGTACCCAAGTTTACAGCAATCCCAACTCCTAGTGATATCGCACGGCAGGAGTTACTCAGCTCCGAAGTTGACACCCGCGGAGCTGCGAGAGACAAGGCGCAAGTACTTAAAGTAGGGGTTTAGGGTTTTGGTTTTAGGATTCAGGGTTTAGGGTTTTGGTTTCGGATTTAGGATTTAAGGCTTAGGGTTTTGGGTTTAGGACTTGGGGTTTAGGATTTTGGGTTTAGGTTGAGGGGTTTAGGGTTTTAGAGTTTTGGGTTAGGGTTTGGGCGTTTTGGGTATAGGATTTATGCAAATTTGAAACACAGCGGTTGCTGCGGAGGTCCGAAGAAGCTGTTATAACAAATTACTTTCGCCATCTTTGGGCTTGTAGCCAATAACGGTTTATGGTTTAGGGTTAATGGGGTTCCTTTAAAGGGGTTCATAAGGGTTACTATAAGGGATCTATAAGGGTATAAGAATACATAAGGAATTCCTGTTGCCCAAGCCCTGTGCTACCTGTGAAGCCCCCATGTCAGGGCTTATTGATTTGGAACTGCGGTTTAGGCGTTCTTCAATTGGAAAAGTCTGTTTAGAGTTTAGGGTTGGAGGGTTAAGGGTTAGGGTTTAGGGTCCATTGCCATGGTTTGGGGAGAGGTGAGTTTGGCACGTTTCTGAAATGAGAAACCCATCATGCTTTCCGTGAAGCCTGGTAGGCCCGTTATTTTTCATGCTTGCGCAAGAACCCTAAACCCTAACACCTAACCTGCCTTTGTTGACGTTGAGCAAACCACGGATATTCTGATGTGGCTTTGGGAGTGGAGGGTTTCGGGCCGGGGTACCAAGAACCATTGCAGCTGCACCTCAGTGCAGGTGGAACGGGCGGCACCATGTTCTTTTTGCAAAGGACGGGAAAACACATACAACAAATACCTGAAGCAGTTAATCACATTGGCCTTCAATCTACTAGAATTAGACCCTAAACCTTAGAACCAACTGAACCAACCCTTAAAACCTGAACCCGAAGGCGTAAACATTCGCAATGGCATGAGGGTGTGTCCGGGTCTGGTGTGCAAGTTTGTGTGGTAGATCAGGATCGCAAAGGCTTCGCATGTGGCAAAACTTCGGACTATATTTCGGTTCCATATCAACAGTCAGGCTCACACACGCACCCTGAACCCTATACCCTAAACCCCCCCACCTTAATCCCCGCCAATAGAGTTTTTAAACTCCGGACAACCCGAAACCCTAGTTAGCACTGCAGAGTCGTCTGTTTGTTTGGTGTTTAGTAGGGAATGGGGGCATGGATCCTGCTTGTTTGGTGTTTCGTAGGGAATGGGGGAATGGATCCCTATAGTAGTCCCTATATAATCCACAAAAATAGTCTCCATAATCCATTCCTCCATTCCGTACTAAGAGCCAGACAGATGATGTGAAGTTGTAAAAGGCATCGGGGCTGCTTGAGTTCAGGGATGTGGTTGTACGCTTTAGTTAAGGTCCTTTTGTATCGTAGTAGCTGAACAGCTAACCTTCAGCCTTTCGGGGTTCGGGTTTATATAACCCTACCGTATTTTGAAAGGTTAGCTTTTCTAGGGGCTAGGATACTCAGCCCGGAAGGTATACAGGTTTGCGGCTTGTGCTTGTGCGTTTTGATGCAGACACCATGGATGTGAGCTCATGGAGTTGAGGGTAGAGGAGGGTTTAGGGTTTAGGGTCCCTCCCCAGATCGCGCCCAGAGTCTAGATCCTGGTAGGAGTCTCAACTCAATGTTTCAGGAAACTGTTCATGTGTAAGTTCTTTGTGGATGAAGCTCACTTGTAGTGACCATTCGTTACACAGTGCCTTTGCACCTAGACCCTAGGCCCTTTAGTAACCGGTCGTAGTGTTAGGATGCTTTGTTTGTGCTTGTGTATTTGCTGATGCCACTACCCCGAGACTCCGAGAACTGCTGCAAATGCCACGAATATCTAAGCTAGAAACCACCCAAAAAAACTGCAAGAGAGGAAGCTCAAAAATCCCTCAGGCCCTGAAGTGCTCAACCCTCAAACTCTATAGTCATCCCTGGCATCCCTGGCCGATAAATGCTCGCAGGACAACCACCACTTCCAAGCCAATCTCCGGGAGTATTTTGAGCGGCCCAGATACTTGCACGTGTAGCAAGGCGACTTGGATTTGTCAAGCAGGGGGTCTTGTCCGAGACCCTGGGCTTAGCACACACAACACCAAGCCTCTTATGTATAAGGTCGCGTTTCGATAGAGGGTGTTTCTGTATCAACCATGCCTGCATCTTCCGGATGAGATCAAAGGCGGCAGTCACAAGGTGAAGGACGCGCGATGAGAGAAAAATGTTATCGAACGTTGTCATCCTAAACCCTATACCCTAAAACCTTGTAAACCCTATACCCTAAACCCTATACCCTAAACCTTATACCCTAAAAAAGGAAACCTATACCCTAAACCCTCTACCTTAAGCCCTAAACCCGAAACCCAACCTTCGCAACCACCCACCCACATACGGGTGGTTGTCAAAATTAGGGTCCCTTATTTTTGGGGCCTTAATATAATACGGCACCTAATATTTAGGGTACCTTAGAAGCTGCCCCCACCCTGTAATAGTGACTGTAAGGATTTTATTCGGGCCCTATTATATTCCTTTATACCACTATTCCAGGGTGGGGGCCCCTTCTAAAGGGTACCCTAATTTTGACAACCACCCACATACACTCTAAGAGCTTCAGCCCCCGGCCCTCACTTCCTCCTCTCTGCAGAACTACTTGGAGGGTCGGGGGACTTAGTAACTGGTTATTTTAGGGACTTATAAGTACCATAACCATTAGGGTCCCTTTCAGTGTATTTATAAGTCTACTTACTACCTACTTACTAGGTCCTCCGACCCTCCAAGTAGCTACACCCCGAATGCCTTCAGTTCAACCACCTGACAAGCAACACAACAAAATCTAAGCGACGCGAAGCATACTTCGAATACAGAACCATTCAGAGTATAGCTACAAAGCTAGAAAATCAGCGATTTCTTGAGAGCTGAGCTTCCCTAGGGAGTCGCTCTAAGCAGAGAGTGCGATCTGAAGTCTGTCTATTGGGGTTGATTCCGGGTTTCTGTGGTTCGTCTAGGATTCTTATAGGGTTTTGTGAAGGTTCTGCACGGTGTCGGATTTTGGGCTCCAGACTCCAGGTGCTTGGGGCTGTGAGGATCCGAGGGTCTTTGTGTTCTTTTTTACGAGGCTTCTTGATTGGGGCCTCAGGAGGTTTGAAGGGTTTGGGGATTCATGGAAGGCTTCCAGGCAGTTCTTTCGAGTGGTTGTTGGTTGTGATGTGGCTGCAGTGGGATTTCAGGGGTTCGGTTATGTTCGGGTTTGCAAGTGTTGTTTTGTAACAGGTTCAAGAGGTGCTACAAGGTTTAGGTTCCTGCCCCTGTGCAGCTGACAGCGCTCTTAGAACACAAAGCCCGCGATTCCAAAACCCTCAAAGCACAGAAACCTAATGACCGCAAATCGCAAATAGGGTTTAGGGTTTAAGGGTTTAGGGTTTCGGCCATGGTATGATTGCACTCTGCTGCCTACATGGAGATGAAGTCTCACGATGGTAGACTTGCTGAGCAATCGCCACCAAAGAGCTCCAGGCTTTTAGGTTCGGGCTTGCCTTAAACCCTAAACTCACCTAAACTCCCATCTCCCCTAAACTCCCATCTCCCCTAAACTCCCATCTCCCACATCAAGTGCACTTTATGGTTTTGACCACGAAAGTTGAAAGTTCAGCTGAGGCCCTACATCCTAAGATCGACGACCCGCTTCTTGTTAAGATTTGCCCAGACCTAGACCTTGAGCCCTAAACCCTAATCCCTGAACCCCTAAACCATAAGCCCTAATTCCCTTGAACCTTAACCTTGTAGCCTCAATCCCTAAGCTGCCGGGTGTCTCTCTGGTCGAGTCGCGTTTGGGGCTGGCAACCCCAAGCCCAAACCCGAATCCCGAATGTTAGAATTCAGGGTTTCAAGCTTGGGGTAACTGCAGAGTCTATATCTTCCTGACCATGTACCGTGCAAGCCTAACTTGAGTCCTACCCGAAGCTAGTTGCCGACATCTTCGGGAACCACTCGTGTATTCAATGTAGCACCTGCGCCAACACTAGCGCGAGCACTGGCACCGACGACACTAAAACTAGACTAGCAGGAGCACTAGCATTAGCATCACCGCTTTCATTACCACCACCTCTGCCACTACGACTGCCACAATGATCAATACCACAACGAGAGAAAGAGCACGAGACAGAAGGACCGAGAGAAAAGCAAAGATGAGCCACGGACATGTTCTGATGGTACTACTGCATTTGTTCGTACTAGCACTGTCACTGGCACTGGCAACAGCGCCACCACCACGACGACTACGACTTCGTCTCCCTCTGCTGACCTTACTACCCGAATACGTGCATTATGCTGGTACGCTCTCACTTGGGTAGTATTATTATTAGTGGGACCCCTTAAAGGGTACCCGTTCTGAACCCTACTGCTGGCTCTCCTCAAAGGGGCCTTATTGAGAGGGTGTATATCCCCAAGGGTCCCCCTAATCCTAACTCCCATCACTCTCTGGTTTGGGGTGTACTTGGAGGATCGGGGGACTTAGTAACTGATTACTTTAGGGACTTATAAGTACCAGAACCCCAATTAGGGTCCCTTTTAGGGTACTTGGAGGGTCGGGGGACTTAGTAACTGGTTCTTTTAGGGACTTATAAGTACCCTAAGCCCAATTAGAGTCCCTTTTAGGGTACTTATAAATGTACTTACTACCTACTTACTAAGTCCCCCGACCCTCCAAGTACTTACAAGTCTATATACTTACTACCTACTTACTAAGTCCCCCGACCCTCCAAGTAGGCATCAGGGCTTGGTTTTTAGCGTTTTAGGGGGGGTTAGGGTTCAGGTTTAAGGGGGGTTTAGGGTGTCGGTTTATGGGTTTAGGAAGGGCTGCTAAACAACATTAGGGTCTAGGAGTCTAGGAAGCACCCGGAAAACCTCGGATTGAGAGTGCTGGCTTTAGGGTCTAGGGGGCTGTCTAACCACAGATATCTGTCATGCATGTCGAAGCGGCTACCAAAAACGGCGCAACATCACGCATAGGTTTGAGGGCCAGAGCTTTACACCGGCACTTCAAAATCCTAAATCAAGAAGACTTCCGATGCTTGCACTTGTGCCTGCTGCGTCTCTTACAGCCAACTCGGCTGGTGACTTCCGTGGTGGGTTTGGGTTCAGGGCTTCGGCTCGGATTTTCGTAGACAGAATCCCTAGCAGGGAGTGGCAAAAGATCCTTGGGTCCAAAGCCCTATGCCAGACCTTGCAACTTCGAGATTTCGAGCGAAAGCTTCACTGCCGTGGTTTTCGATTTAGGGTGTAGAGTTTACGTTTTAGGGGTTTCGGGTTTGGGAGCTTGAGGGAAAGCTCCCTATCCAGTAAAGACTGGACGGGTTTGGACCAGCGTGCCGTAGCGCCTTCTGTGTCCTGGCTTGATTTGCTGGGGTTTAGGGTTTAGGGTAGTTGAGGGCTTGGGGTTTAGGGTTTAATGTTTAGGGCTGAGGGTAGTTTAGGGCTTGGCGTTTAGGGTTAGGGTTTAGGGTAGTTTAGGGCTTAGGGTTTAGGGCTTGAGGTTTAGGGTAGTTTAGAGTTGAGGGCTTAGGGTTTAAGGTTTAGGATCTCCCTAACCTAAATCCCATGTCCACACCTAAAGCCTCAAGACTGAAAGACTGAAAGCAGCAAACCGGAATTTTTACTTCAGTCGACTGTAACTATGGCCGCCCCTCCGCTTCCGTCCCAAAGCCACGAGATTTCAGAGTTAGGGCCTAATGCTGGAGGGGGTAGTTGGGGCAGTCGGGCCTGTCAGAGGTGGGATAACATAGGTAGCTATGTTTTTATACACAAGTATACATCTCCGTATACATATACATGTATGCATACATGTGTCTGTGTATTGGTTTGCTTGTCTATGTATGTATTACATACCTGCCTGCCTACCTACCTACCTAAAGTACGTACATACACTCGTATGTGTGCACCTGTATGCACACACACACACACACACACATATATATATATATATATATATGTATATATATATATATATATATATATGTATATATATATATATATATGTATATATATATATATATATATGTGTATATATATATATGTATAAACACATACATACATTCATACATACATACATACATACATACATACATACACACACACACACTTTTTACGTACAGATAGATATTTACATAGACTGACGGATAGATGGGTAAATCGGTAGATAGGTAGATAGATAGATAGACAGATAGGCAGATAAATGCACAGACGGACAGGCCGATTGATAGATGTACAGATAAGTAGCTAGACAGATAAGTAGCTAGACGGACAGACAAATACAGAGGCAGACAGATCACAGACAGTGACAGGCAGGCAGGCAGATAGACTAAACAGATAGACACATACACGGGTAGACAGATCGACAGGCAGTTGGTGTTAGTTGGTGGGACCATGGGTAGAAAGACAGACTGGAATGTAGACAGATGTGATACATAATACATAGGTCAGATGAGGTTAGATTGAAGCAGATATGGTTGCATTTGTTTAGGTTAGGTTAGGTCGATCTTGATTGGATTGGGTTAGATGAGGTAGACTAGGCTAGATAGGATAGATAGACAGGCAGGTAGATATATGCATACATATTTCGCGACTGGGATTATGAAAGCATTATAGTACCCCAAACAGGTTACCTATACCCTACTACTATGTTTACAGTGGCTACGCGTCCCGATTGCTGCTCACTTGGTTGTTGTGCTTCTTCTAGCTATGAACCTCGGAAAACGTCTTTCCTTGTGGGTGTTGTTTCCGGTATTGTCAAAGCCTAAGGTTCAATTGAAGGTTAGCCAAAGCGTGTACTACACCGTAACACCTCTGAAGCCTGGCGTGCTTGAGTCTTAAGCACAACAAGGACTGCATATCCTAAACTGCAAGCGCCTCTAAAGCCCTAAGTCCTTCATCTGGAACTTGTCGGGCACTAGTTCTCATCCAAGGATGCCCGAAGGTTACAAGTAAGTCAATCCCCTAAAGCCCTAAACCGTGAAGCCGTAAACCCTAAACCTCTAAA